GCAATTGTCCGGTGACGTGAGAAACAACGGGAGTCGCTACGAACAGTAGACACTGTATTGCTGGTATTATGGGTGCAAGTGAAATCATTGGCATGAACATAAGCTCGACATCGAGCGGAAAGTAGTCCTTGTCCGACTGAGCTGAGCTGAGCTGAGCTGAGCTGAGCAATCATGTCGGGCGGGCTCTCTCGTCGTCTTCGGTAGATCGACGCCTTTCGGCCTCCCTGCGTGCCTGCCTGTATATAGTCATTGATCGTGTCCACCTACACTGAGAGAATATTTCCAGCTGTTCGCATACGAACCAGTGAAGAAGATCATGGAGCTCTGCAAACCGATTTATTGATATTGTATTTCACTCGTTTGATTCACGTGAAGAATAATATCTCAGTAACTTGTAAACTTTAGGCAGTCACCATGCTCAGTTATTTTCCTCGGATATCTTACTCTTGCGAAATTAGCGCCAGGAATAAAATCTCAATAACTTCAGATGAGGAATCAAACCTCTGATCATGACATGGCTACGGAGGCATCGTGTACGACCGAGCACTTATCAATTATGAGAAAACATTTTGCGCCGGAAAGAACAAAGGTTCAGTTCAGGTACAAGCCACGGAAAGTCACGATTCATGTATTCATTCTAATATTTACTAAATCTTCCAACTCACTAAAACTTCTTTACAATATTTCTGATGTAAAACAATTCACAGAAAATGATAAATAAAATAAATTCTATCAAGAAAAAACAGAACAACGGCTACGCATGGACCGGAAAAAACGATCGTGGCCCATATCACAAAAAGGATACAAGCCAGGGCGCAAGAAGGTAAAGAAAAACCACGTTCAAAGCACGGGATTATTGATTATTCTTATTGGATTGGTCCCCCGCCTGTGGGTGCCTAAGATCTCGTGGTGCTCAGAAAGTACCTCTTCTTTTCGGCGTAGTCATCGTACCGTCAGTCCCCAGATGAGCCAAGCGTCCAATCTCATGGTCAGAGCACTAAGAGACGACCAGACGTAAGCACGTCTTGTACGGGATTTTTCCAACGTATAGTTGAAAGGTTTATTCTATTGTAATCCAGAAGATTACGTGATCTCCTGATCAAAAGCAGCCAGAGGATCCAATATAAACTAACAAACTAACCAGATAGAGTTATTTATTGCAGCAACTAACTACATGAGGGCATGCTGCAAAAGCAAAAGGTAAACGTGAAACCCCGAGAATCTCCAAAAGCTGGGTATGGTTTTTCAATAAGAAAACCGCGACAACATTGAATAATACAACTTGTTCATGATGCAGATTCTGAACAGTGTTGATAAGTGTCTCCATTCATGGAACTTCTATATTCTGTAACAAAACGGTGATAAGGTATGAAGGCTTGCACAACAAATAATTAGTGCTAGCCTATTGAAGAATAACTATTGAAAACATAAACAAAGTATCGGAAGTCGAGAGATCTCCTCGAACGAGGCATCACAAGTTTGAATGGTGAAATGTTTTTCGTGAAATCTTGTTAGGTATTTTAGTTTGAAAACTTCATCTATGTAACCCGGCCACAAAACATCGTATTACCAAAATCAAGGGGAAATAATCTTCTCTTGTGACAAGTTATCATATCACTTCATCAAGACTTGACTTTGTCATCCACTAGTCAGTTCGGAGAGAGATTAGTATACTCTCTACATTTGTGTATAAGATCAAAATTGTAGATTATTTGCTTAAGATCAGCGCTATAAATTGATAGATAATCAAATCTGATATACATGATCTTTCTTTTAGTATCTGAGAACGCAGCGAGCCATACATTCTCAGCCTGGCATTTGAATTGCCTCCTTTATGAATGTTCAAAATATAAATATTTCTGTCAAATTTTGGGTGTCTCAAATCTGAGAAGCTTGAAAACTTCTGTAATATGGAAATGCCTTTGAATACAACAGTAAGAAATACCTACTTGATTCTTTCTGTAAGACTGCTAGTGACAAAAAATACAACTATGACCCCAGAATAGCGGATTGGTTCGACACACCACACCATAATTCTATTATCTATGATGCAAAAATGACAACATCTTCAATCCTACACAGCTCCTCATGTAGCACTTCAAGCATTTGCATAAGAATTCAATATTATCCAGTTTATCAGGAATTTTGATAATAAGCTTAAGAATGCTATCTCAAAATCCCTTGGCTGTATCATCGGAGATATCGGGAATATGGAAATATTGTAGGTTTTATGGAGGTGAGAATCTCAATATAGTATTTTTCAATTACTGTAGACCCCTCTTACAATTTTGTGTTTTGTAATCGATTGGAATTTATTAGCAATTTGAACTTTTGAGGTTTGACTTTATGTTTAGTCAACTTAAATTTTTATCTGAGCGAAGCCAGTCCTCGGTCTATTAAACCAAAGATTGGGACCGATGAAAGAGGTTTACAACCTTTCAAATGATCAAAGAGGCCTTATTATCTAAATATAGTATGAAAGAATCCTATGTTTGAAAGTTTAGCTGTGTTAGCTTAGAAAAACTCATTTTCTTGTGCAGTATGTTTTTCCACCTAATTAAGTTAATTTCACGTTTGCAACAAGAGCTCGAGAATTACACAACCAATATAACTAAGAAATATTTGAATAAAAATTATATGTCATGTACTTTAAATATTTTATACAAACGGGATTGGTTTAGATGCGTGTTATTTTCAATTGAAAAATCACTGAAATTAAGTTAAAATATTAATTATCATAATTAGACTACTAAATTGCATATGTAGATAAAATTTTTAGTAGAGTAAGATTGAAATTTTACTCTTACTCCAATGAATCACTGAAGTCTTGAGAAAGTCTAGTGTGGTTGATTCGCAACTTGTGCTAGTACTTTGTGAGTATGTCATGTTTTAAATAAAGTAAAAAAATCAGATAAATTACAGTTACTGTTTTTTTTAGTAACTGCTTCAGATTTTTCTTTCCTCCATGACGATGCGAGGTAAAATTCTGTCATTGAAGTATGTATTTTGGATGAAGTTATTATCGTAATTTAAGGTGTTGAAGGCTCCACACTGAAACAACAAATAGACTCCTCTCCTTTCAGTCTCCTAACTGGGATTGCCCAACCTGGTTTGCAACAAACACTTGATAAGTACGTGTACTTCTAACTGATTATGTACACGTATACATAATATACGATTCAAAGCACCCACTTTGCTGGAAAAATAAGAGTACGCGAGGAGTAATCATGAGGTTTTGAGATAGCCAACAGAGGGTTACAACCTTTCTGCAAAAACATTTCTTGGGGTTTTATGAAAAAATATATTCCTCTGTATATGCATTTCTTAAAACCCATTTATTTCGGCTCACTTTGGACATTCAACCTATTTTGTTTATATTCCATAAAGTTTGCAACTACATTGTCTCTTTGGTCGAGTGTTTGAAGTAGACTTCTGCCAAAATGGCTGAGAAAGAAGGGTCTTCGCACTACGCGATTCTGGATATGTCTAGAAGAAAACTTCAGAACTCATAAATGATACAGGATTGAGAATCATAAGGGTTAAGGCTCGAAATTAGTTTGGAAATGATCGAAGAATACAAGTTCAAAACCCATAGGAGGTTTTGTACTGCAATCAACAGTTGGTACTCACCTTTAAATTAAGCATGTTCGTCTCAAGACAGCAACTTCTCAAAAGATGTTATTATTGCATCAATCAATTTTCACAAGCTGAACTTGATTAGAAGACTTTAAGCAGAAAATGCTTTAGCAATCATTGGTTGAAATACAAAGAGGAATAAATAAAATGATGGGCACCAAGTTGCTAGGCCGAATAGAATCAAGATTGGAAATATGTCATGATACATTTGATATACACTAACAACCTAAGCTAAACCGTATAGAAACATACGATTAATCATAATCTGATAAGAATAATGGATTACGTAAAGTAATATATTTAAGAAAAGAAAAATGTTGCTTATCATATAGCATAAATAATATGAATGAAATGATTAGGACTAATATGGGACGACATGGCGCATTACAAACATGTATAAATGGCTGGGTCGGGTACTTATAACTCCAGAACTAATTTGTGTGATATATTGAGGAAACTTTTAGACTAAGAACTTATATATAAAGTTTATAGTAGACCACTAGAGAAAAAGGCATCTACTTTATTCTTGTCATTTGACATAGTACAGGTCCGGTATTTATTGGGAGTTCTGATTTCAAGCATAATACCTCAAGAAGCTGATGCGGCGGATTGACTGAAGACTCCGTTTGCCTAACTTTCCTGACTTGGAGGCAATAATAATCGCCGTTGACTATTGTCAAAACAAAATTCACATGCAAGTTCTCGCGACATTGTTCAGGGTGACAACATAACAGATGAAGTGTATTCAACTGGAATACAGTGAAAGTATGATATAGAAATTTGCGTTGTGAAATCTGCGCATCATCTTGGGCCCAGTAGGTAGCCAACGGAGGAGCCCAGGTCCTCTGTGCCATGGTTAAACCGTCCAAGTCACTGGTTCTCCCTTTCTCTGCAAATTGTACACCGAGCTGACTGCGTGGCTGGATCGTACGAAGGATCGTCAGTATCACGCGTTGTCAGCCTAGCAAACTTTTCTGAGCAGAATCTCGCTTGTTCCAAAGCTTTGTCCCCTCTCACCATACTAGGCACTCGAAATGATCAGAAGGGATTGTCGGGTTCTGAACATTCACTGGTATGCTAGATATCAGCATCTGCGTAAAGATCCCACAATACTAATAAAAGGGCTCACATATGTGTGGAGTTTGTGATTTTTTATCATACCATGTGATCTAACATCAGCACATCAGTACCCTCTCCTTCACTATGACTTCACTCCTGATCAGGCTTTGCCGGAAAAATGACAGCGAATTTTTTCTGAACTTAGGAGATCTCAAAGAATCAAACCGAGAGCTCCGACCTTTCCTCATCCTGTGCTATAAATCTCCTATCTTTCATCAAGAAATCCAGAATTGTGTTTGGCCTTTGAAACATCAAACAAGAACATGATGGCGAATTTGGAGAGGAAGGAATTTTTTTACAGGTCGAACGTTTACTGAATACGCAAGAAGCATCAGAACGCCGTAATATCGTCGTATCTTATAGCAGGCTCCGTGCTCATAGTACAGAGCAAGTGTCTGCTTCTCCATGATCCGGAGTCATGGGTCTCATAGATCTTTCAGGTTCACAACGTCCGTGCTTTGCTTCAGGTTGAGTCCTGCTTCATCTCCGACAGAGAAGCCCCTGTACAACAGAAGCCCTGTTCAGATTTTATCAGGTTCTGTACACGATTCAAAGATGACATTGCAGGTGATGATCATGGAGAGCAATGCGGCTACACTTGGAGAAGTTTCGACTGGTAATTTGCCACAATATGTTGAACTGGTAGGAAAGTTTGGATTGCCCTTGCCACGGGCATCGGATTCGAAATCTGCACTGTGTTCCTATCAGATCAAATAACTTCCGACACGCAGTGGTTGTTTTTCTTGTTTCACAAGTGCATGATTACGATCAGGGGTTGACTCAGATCTTCGCGTGACTAACATCCCGATCCTGTTGAGACCCCTGTTTTTCGTACTTAACGTCATTCCGAAGGTAAAATTCCCTCTTCAAGAGTGGTCGCTTCTGCGGAAGGCGCCGTCATTGCCCCTTTTGCACCAAACAGCGTCTGATTCTGAGTTTTGGTATGAGCGTATGATTTTTGAAGCTTTGAGCCCGCGGCGAGATATGGTCAGAGAGCTGACCTCCCTCCAGTCCTCAGGACAAGTATTCCAGACAGTACTAGTTCAGAATTTTAGAAGACAGCCTCAGCATTGTCAAGGAATACTGCTGGTACGAGCAAGCTAGCCTCCCAAGTCGAAACAGGCTAAAAGGATATATTGTGATGCTATGGGGGCGAGACCCATGTTACACGTTTGCTTTCATCGACGTACTACTTGATCGGATCTTGCCATCAATTTCGTTCTTTTTAATGTCTACTAATGCAAAAAGCGTTAAAAGGGTCTATATCCTACACTTTGAGGATATGGAGATTTCACAGATCATAAGCAGACTTCAAACCTACCTGTCTTCCGCCTCAGGCAAACGACCATCCATGATTATGTAGCTTCCTTTGCATGCGATCCACGTAATGACTGCACTCTCCGTTGCCCATCGTTGTCACAGACGAGATTTCAACTGATCATCCTACAAAATGAATACCCCTTGCGTGTAATCCTCCTTGAACATCTCTCGATTGGGTGTGCACAGTGCAGTATAATATCCCTCCTGGTACTTCTCAGCTGACGAGAAAGCGCGGGATCCTATTTCTTCAGCTCCTTTTCTTCATACTCCAAGCAGTGGGAGGGGAGATGCCAACAAGCAGAAACAGCACCTGTGTGCGAGCTGTGACAAGGTAGACAGCTTGTCGGCTTGACAGGTACCTTGGTACAGCTTGCGGCAGATGATATTCTTCATAACTACTTTTGCATGATCTCTTATACGCAATCAGCTTCAAGCAAATTTCTTACGGCGCTCGGAGACACCTGCTTAGTAGTTAGGCAGAGCTGTTCCTTCTACGGAAGACGGAAGACGTGGTGCTAATTGAGGACTTGATGAAATGTGAGATTAAGCACTACCCGAACCATGTGAATTAGAGACAGGATGAACTTGCACTAAATTTTAAACACGTGAACTTTTATTTATTCTTTTATGTCTGCTCGCCGTCATTGTAGCTGCATGAACTGAAGCACGTCAAATGACCTCTTGATCCATGTCGATGTCGTTTATCGAATCCTGTGACTTGAGACCTTGTTTTACCCTCATTACGATCCGATCTCTGTTTCAAACTTGTATTTCCAGGATGAGATTATTAATATCAGAAGAATTATTATAATTTGGTGTCGAGTGTCGCACATGTTGACGGTCGGTGTCACTGACTGAACTTTGGTTCAGGGATATATCTGGTTAGACATTCAGTAAGGCCTATCAATGAGAATTTTATGAGGTTGAACCCTGTACCACTATTAGTTCTTTTGATCGATCATCCGCTATTTTGGCATTCGAATCCTTTAAGCCCTGGATCATCATGATAAGCACATGGCGGAGGAATTTATGAGCATGATCTGATTAGCATGTAAAGCTCGAGAATATCCTGGAGGATCCGATTGTTTGAGCTGCCATCACTCAAAACACCATCGTCAGCTCGAACGGATAGTCCAATAGTCAGTCCAGAACGGGAGAATTCCGAAGATCAAAGCCTAAGGTCAATCCTTCGCTGTATGGCGAGAGCCCATCTTGAACTCTTTGGCACTACAATTCGTAGGAGGAAATGAAATCTCCATCAAAGTACATACGGTTGTGGATCACTTTCAAACGCAGCATATATTGGCCTCATCAGGGTGAAGCGGGGATATTAAGCATATCACAGATACTTGAGTTTACTCTGTGATTTTCACGATCCTTGTCGAATTTATTAGTTCCCAGCATTGAGATTTCGATAGAGACCATTTCTCTCAACAAGATGTATGAAGAATTATGTATTTTGCGGAACTCCTCTCGATTTCCTATTCGAAAGCTGTGGCTCATTGCAATGTAGGACTGACTTCTTCTGAATCCATGTCTTCAAATTTGGTGAGGTGAAGGTCCTTTATTCGATGACCTCCCCTGAGAAAAAGAATGGAGGAAACATTGAGTGAGAAACAAGCGCTCACAGGCCCAGTGAGAAGGATGTCGACACTGTGCACATCAGAATTGCTGCAATAATAACTGCTTCGGAACCACTGTTGCACAACCATGCAAGATTGTGATGAAGCTGCCGTAGTCTGGTGAGGAGTTTGTACTCAGGAGCCTGGTGGCACTGCCTAGATGCGGCCGAATTTTTTGAACTTGTGCTTGCAAAATGCAAAGCAGATATGGGTCGGACTGTACGAGTTGGTGGATACAATTAAACCAGAGGGATTGGTTTAAATTTTCAATTTTCAATCTGCCGATGATATTACAGCACAATCATAAATGAAACAGCCCAAATTGAGATAAATCAGGGCCAGATCTGCTGCAGAAAGATCTTAAATGCATTATTTGCCTCCGACTGCACAGCCGCTCTGTAGGATCGTGCGATGTCCGTAATTCCGAAGTCCCCGTAAGTTCGTAACAACTACAAAGAATCTGCACTTCCTCATGTCCACTGGTCGCTGCAGTCCTAGTCGTGTTATATGGTTATAAAGAAATTGAGTGACTGCAATGCAAGCTACGTGTAACCTTACCTGCACTTTTGGAATCATCATCAAAGTGCAGCCTATGTGTCTCCAAATTTCATACTGGACATCTTTCGGAACTCACAGCAACCAGCTGGTAGCCACAATGCATTATCTTAACTTTTTAAAGCTTTCATAATTCGTTGTTCATGAGAGGAGACCGATCATGAAGACGCTCAAAATGTCCTTAATCCATTATCTCACAATCGGATGCCAGCCATAAACAGGTAGGTTGTAGCTGGAGTGCTGTGTACATACAGGCACAGGTTTGCGGAAACTTGAGCCCTGAATAGATGACATCAACCTACCCAAGCACAACGGTGATCCATGGAACCACCCTGGACATTCGAGGTTTGGACATTGAGAAACGCTTCAAATAAAACATCCATGACAAGGCGTTAGAAATATTGTCTTGGGTGCTCATGTTGTTGTTAGCCCGTATTCCGTCGATTATTATGATATCTTAGGTGTTTCACGCACTGATGATATTAAGGTCTAGAACGTGAACAAGGAACGGGTGCTGTTCATGTTCATATTTTGTTACAATCTTGATGGGTTTTGCCATTTTTTTTTTGTTTTCAAGTTAGCTAACTGGATTGTTACTCATGAGCATGATAAGCACATGGTTTAGCTTCTTGCATCCCTAATCTAGTGCTTGTTATGGTGAACTTTTTTGATCAAGACTCCTGAACATGCAGCCTATATCTTGCACAATCATCATATTGAGGTTAGTTCTAGTCCTCTTTATGATAATTTGCTGATGTTATAATATATGTTCAGAAAGCATGACTTCACTACCTGGAATCACGAATCAAGGATCACCGAACTAGATCAAGGATCTAGGATCAATCACACTGAACTGAACAATATGATAAATGAAGATACTCTAAAGTAGATAGTATATTATTTCGGAAAATACAATATTTGATGATTAATATCGTAATATGGTTTCTATATTTTTCTCTGGTACAAATATTGAAATAGTGGCCAGACTATTTCAATATTTTCTCTTGAAGACAAATCAGGCCAATTTCTTAGAGCTGTGTTTTCTTGATCGATGACACGCTCACTTGAGCTCTTACCTCTTGGAGCTCTTACGAATTGAGATCTGTCAAGATAAAACAGCTCCAAGAGCTCGAATGAAGAAGTGAGCCAAATGAGTCGTGCTCCATTCTACATGGTGAAGAATACAGCACGACTTGAAGATCAGATGTACTTACTTCACAGTGTTTCGGAATGATGTCGATTAACGACCCTAGGGTCTTGAAAAAGCAGCCTCGATTACTTGCGATCCTGTGTGCAAGCAATCAATGAGGGACAAGCTCTTTTGGGATAGAATGTCTGCAAGACACTGATTGCTATAATTCCCGTGCAAGACGTGGAATATCTGGATCGATGTTAAAAGAGGCCGACAAAAAACGATTTTCTTCCTCGATACCATGATAAACTCAAGAGAATAGATCTATCGACGTGCCCTCTCGGTTTTATCCCGAGCAATTATTTCCGCATTCTGTTGATACACTTAATCCTCTCTAGAAGCCCTAAAGGCTCGAACTTCAAGTCTACCTTTTATTCTTGAGTGAATTCAAAGCTTTCCGTGAATAGGGACTCAATCCATCTTGTTGCGAGTTTCATGATGACCCTTGTTCCCCTTCAGTGATAAAACAACATGACGATGCAATGTGCACTTGAGGACCCCGACAGTTATCATCTCATGGCAGTTGTGTTTGGCAATGCACACTTACCCAAGTTTTGTACAAAGTTTACCGAGACAAATGTATTTTGGAAAAACGTTAGTCCATGTTACAAGGTGTAGGTTTGTGAAAATTCTACTCTTGGAGAACGAAGTTAGAATATAGCAGGCAGACATTTGAGCATTTTAATGCATATTCTGCACAAAATCACCGAGCTGAAGCCATTTTAAACTTCGGACTATCTGTTTGAGAAAACAGATAGCCGATTAAATTCTCATCATGTGAATCTTCTGAAAACATTGGACTTCCGTGTATTCTTTGTAAACGTACAAGACAGAAGTCCCTTGTATCGCTGCAAGATAGGCCAGTAAGATACACATAATCGCAAGCTACCACTTAGTCGCCAGTCCACATAACGCTAAGAGTCATTTAAATGTTCGCGTTGTTTCTAGAATTGGACAGCATGTAATGCGCACTCATTTTTTAGGTACCATTAATTCCTAAGAGACCTTTCTCTTCTCCCGTTTTTAAAAAAATTCACAAAGCATGTAGAGTGCACTCAATCTCTACTTTCCCGAATTCGAACAATTTTTTCCAGCTTTGGTAGGAGCATCAGAAGATGATGTACGAAACGAAGCTGTCAAGAGGGCAGATATCGTTTCCGCTGCGGCACGGTCGTTGAGACTGATATTGTACTTCTCTTCGGAAGCACTGAGCTTAGCCCCACCTCACGCAATGACTGCCGGTATCCAAGGGAACACCGATTCATTCGTACTGTACTTCTGATTTCAAGGTCTGAAAAGGTACGGTGAAGAAAGAGGTGAGCAGCTGTTCCACTGGATACTCGTCATCAAGTTGCGTTGAGTGTGTTGTGTTCACTCTGTAGTCATCAACCTCCCTCTTCGTGAGTTCGTTCGAATAAACTGCAGATTGAATACTGTGACATGTATTGCACTCGGGCGTATTGATTTTCCTACTGAAGTCACTTACTTTACTTGACAGCACATAAGATTATAGAATCAACAGAGCGCGTATTCAGCTGATGCTCTGACCATTCCTCAAACAGGCAAGAATAAATATCTTAGAATGTGGAATAGGAGTTCAGGAGACTTCTGGCTTTCAGACAGACAGGTGATCGAGCAAGTAAGTGGTTGTCCTTGAAGTGAATGTGTACGATGTCAGGCTTCAACGTGGACCTGATTTGTAGTGGATAAATTTTCTGGGCCTGCGATGTTTTATCTTGTCCATGAGATTCGGGAGTCATCCTCTGAGCCAAGGGGATGCCGATGCAATGTAATGCTCCAACAACTACATGTAAAATTTTCCGCAATGTACGGGAGTCAAAAGGCAAAGATCTCGCTCATGGATCTTCGGATCTTGCCCTTCACATCGAGCACTGCGATTGTCTGCTGCTAAGCTTCGATGTAATGTCATACGATTTCAACAGGGGGAGATGAAGTTTCGCAGCTCCACACTTGCAGACTAACTTCGACCCATCTCTCGACTGATTACTTTCACTTCCTAAGTAAATGCTCAGGCTATGTAGGCTGTTTTTCTGTCGAGCTTAGTCACTTCATTTTGATTAATTGAAGGATATGAAATTGGTCAAGACAATATCCCTATAACTGACTGCCAAGGTTGCCAACGTTGATAATTTCAGTGTCATCCTTATCTTCGCTAGCATCTACTTGGATCTGAAACAATGTCAGCCCTGACCTTGTGCATGCTTTACCTCCGTTAGATCATTTTATACTCTTGTGATTCACTAGAATAGTCGACGTGATCGCTCAACGCATGCTACTATCAAAACTGCACCAGAGTCTTTTGAACACTCCGGTCGTCCTGGCCTCACGGATCGTGATCATGAGATCGCGATCCTCGAGGGTCACATGCGTCATCAGCTCCACTTCATGTCAACGCACCGTGATTATGGAAAACAAAAGTATTGGCAAGATACCAGGATTGTGCAGCTCACAAGCACAATGCCGTGACCGCGGTTTCAAGGAGCCTTTGAGGGCCTCAGACGGACGAACTTCGTTGAGGATCTGATTGTAGACGGAGTAGCGATGGAATTGAAGCTGGGAGTGACAGAGAGCGAATTTTTTGGCCCCAAAATCGGCAAGGTGGAACTGGCCGAACTCGATATGGCAGTAGAAAAGCACTGCTGTCCGGTAATTCAGGTCATGGCCCTCGAGCTCGAGAAAAATGGAGAGAGCGGAAGAAACAGGCTGAGCCATGGAGAAGGGCAACCTTCCTGGCCTGTTCTACATGTAAGCGACACGCCCACTCTCCATTCGGTCGCAGGTATGCACCTGCGCACTTATAATCAGGCGGGCTCTGGGTGATATGTCTTTGCTGCAGCACGTCCATCTCAGAAAACAACTGCCTCGTGGGCAAAGAATAGCCTCCACTGACAGGTGCTCTGGCCTCCGGCGAGAGGCTGCAATCAGCAGATTATTAGCCGCAGGGCCACTTTCCAACCATTGCTGGTCCGAGGTCCGAGGAGACATCGGCCATATCCCTTTCGCCCTTCGCTGCTCTTCAATAAGCAATCCTCTGGATTCTGGAGTCTCTTGTGCTGGATCATGTGGACGATGCAGGCAGGAGTGAGGGTGCTGAGGGATGGCGGAGGATCAATAGCTTGGCCTCAAGGGTGGGTCTACAGAACTTGAAATCATGAGGCAATGGTCGCATCTATCGAGTCCTTGCGCTAACGCTCTACTAAAAGCCTACAGAAGCAATCCCTGCATCAAGGCCGAGGTGCTAATTATTATTACGGAGGGCACCAAGCTCAGGCCTGAATTGAATCCACGGCTTCTCTTGCAAGCAGAAGAGAGTTGGAGACGCAGCATGAGATTGAGAGGGAATGTGAGATTCTTCCCCAATGTGCTTGCGAGCTTAAAGAGAGAAATAGAGAGATAGAGAGAGGGAGAGAGGGAGAGAGGGAAGAGAGCGGGCTATGAGGAGAGCATCAGGGGAATGTCACAGGTGCAGCTCTCTCTACGGGACCTGGCCTGCCAGCAGAAGAACCAACTTCTCCACAGCTCTTTCTTCGCGGACCTGGGCCTTGCCGATGGCGAGGCCACCATATTCTTCATCCTTTGCAGGGACGATCACTCTGCCGCCAGCATTCCACCGCCGAAGAAGAGCTCGACAGCCCTTCATCGCCAAGGTTCAGATGGCGAGCAAGGTGAAGATAATCAGGAAGAAGCTGGCTGAAGCTGCAACGCAGGCCACGAATTCGAGATTACGTCGGAATATAAGACTGGACGGATTATCTCTTTCTCTTGGTGGGATCATGCAGATATTGGAGGCACGGAGAATACCAATGCAAGGATGCCACAGCTTACCTGCAGGAGGCTGATCGGATGATCTACTTCCGTAAGGACCTGTTGTTCAGGATCCGTAGTGACTCTGTCGGACTATGGTTGGATACCTTCAGCTTTCTAGAAACCCCTTGCAACCGGACTCGGAGGCTGGAATCGATCCCAGCAGACACAATACCACACGATTCTTCGATTTATCTGATTTTTCCGTTGCAGCTGGAAGATCCTTTCCAGGTGCGAGCTGCCACTGCAACGCTTCGTCACGCTGAGAATCAATCAATCACGGTGTTGGTGAGGATAGAATTCAGGTTCCTTCGTCGATCCTGAACAAGCTCGCGAGTGCTAGAAGTGGGAGAGGCTAGGCTAGGCGAGAGGGTGATGGGATATGTTCCAGTGGTGGGAGAGGACTCTTGCTTCCCGTAGTTGTGGTGTTCAGACTGCTGATAGTCGATGGACAGCTGGTGGGAGCTTGTTCACCCTGAAGATCGATCTGGTGGGCGTGCTCGTGGAGCACGGTGTGGAGCTCCATCGGCTGGATGTCTTGGTCCGGGCCCTTGGGTCGAAACAAACCTGGGCAGGCAAATGAATCTGGTTCAGGCGATGGTGGATGTGATTGTGGGGATTGCAAGTCACTGCTGTCCTGTATTGAGTTTGAAAACCAAGTGGTCCGGCCAATGGTTGACCTGTTTGGATACGGGACAGGAGGCGAAACTCGTATCCCTGAAGGATAGAGATGTGAAGACCCAGGTGCATTTCATGAAGAAGAGGGTGAGAGATCTCGGCATTCAAAAATTCATTCCATACACCATCAGCTCCCATTCAAGTTACTATGGTGTCTCCTACGACAGGTATTGCGCTCTTATGTTTACAGAACATGTTTGCTTCGCAGCGTATCAATCCGTCAGGAAGAGAATTCGTCAGGGAGCTCAAATTCGTGTCAGCAGTAGATCTTATGGATCTTCGACTACGTACAGAGAAAGAATGCCTCAGGTGCAAATATTCGTGAAGCAGATGGTGCTTGACATCTCGATGACCCAGATTCGAATAAAATGGAGGATCAAATAATACATCTTGAGCGGCGTCCAGAGACGACGCTCAGCCAGAGGTTAAATGATTAGATGCGTGGGGTAGCAGACTTGTGTCAGCCTGCTGGTGGCGAAGAAGCGACGAAGTTCCCTGCTCATAACCTTTTAGGCCTCTGACAGATTCCCAAACTCAATACAGGAAAGCATCGCTCCCCGATTTGTGTACCAGAATCATCGACAGGTCGATCAGGTGTTTTTACTTTCGTCAGTTCATAGTTGAAACTGAGAATAGAGATTCACTGTCAGTGAGAACCCCATTAGCATCACTCCACATTTGTTATGCCTTAAGTTCTTGTTGGGATTTCGCAATTTTGCCATAAATCTGTCATTTCGTTCTCGAAGTTGACTCTACTATCGTAAGTTTACCTCGTAATCGGCAGGTACATTACATGCTTGGGATGCAATTTTGTGGTCAGTCTTTGAGCAGAATCACAAGGTTAATTGTGATGGAGTGGCTGAGGTATCAACAATTGATTTCAATCTCCAATGATGTTACCATCTTAAAGAAAGGTGGAAATCTTGGGGATTTCAAGTGTATTCCATACTAGTTTAATTCATATATTCGTAGATAACAATTAGCGGTAGTTCTTTATAAGATTTGGATGGTTGAGAGGTTTGTGTTTCAAACAGTCATGACGAATTGGATAACATCTTTGCGCAGTGTTCAGCTTATAGGAAATGGAACTTTGGGTGAAGTAGAAGTGTGTGATACATTATTTTTCTTTCTTGGGCGAATATTTGTGTGTGCATGACATGATTACAATCTGAGAATCATCAAATACATCAAATGCTCATAAAGTCTCATTGGCAAGATACTGTAACACATTTATCTCATGATAGATTTTCTGCATAATTCGATTGAGGTCTAGATTAATGTTGCCTTGTTAGTATAGAGACTTGAAATACTTTCACAAAGTCGTGAAGTGTTGTTCGAAGTCTCCATCAAGGTCAAAAGATGTAAAAAAAAATCCACAGTTTTAATCGTGGTGACTTGGTTCTAGCTGAATTAACCAAGAAGTAAAAGTGCAATATAGCATAAGCGCTGGAATAAGACTGATACAAAGTGCTCCCAAACAGCAAAGTCGAATATGTAATACGAGATATAGTAGAAAAAACGCTGAAACTGAAGTACTGCCACCAAAGACCTTATACTGTACAAGTTTATATATGTATCAAAGTACTGTCACGAATTGATACAAATTAATTTCAAAAAGTCTAACATAAATCGATGCAAAGTCCTGATATGACATCAAAAATCTGTTACAAGTTGATACCAAGTGCATATAAGTGATCATACAAAATGATAAAAAGCTTTGATACTAAGTGATATGGAAATTGTCAGTATTAAGTATTTTAATTTTTGATATCTCAGCACTTTATTGTTTTTAGCTTTTTCACTCAATACATCTGTAAATTTGGATATAAAATTTATATTTGACAATTTTTAGTCATCGTTCTTATCAACAATAAAACTTCAATATTTTGATGTTTTTGAATTTTGATACAAATCGTAATTTGATGTGAACATATTTTTAAAGTACTTTCACTTGAATTTCCATTTTGGCATTTCTTCATTTTGATCTTGATGTTTTTTTTTATAAAAAATCTACCAATATATTTTGTATCAATAATTTCAAGTAGTAATTTTATTTTCATTACCTTATGTCATTATTTTACATTTTATTTTATAAAGTAGTTTAGGGTTCTCACTCAGTTTATGTTAAGTATCCCTTACACTACAAAAATTACATCATATTTTTAAGAAGTGATTTGTGTGATTGATCAAAGGAATCTCATTTTAAATGAACACTTTCGCTCGACCACGAAAGTTCTCCCAAGCAACATTGAATGCTGCGCTATCAGCAATGCAAGTTTACGTGTTAAATCAAAGTTACACCGTTGTGATTAAGCGCAAACGCAGGATTGGTAACAAGAAAGATGGAACTAGCAAGGGACTCAATCTTGTGTGTTCTCACTGGAACAAAACAGTTGTCCATGAAGATGATGGATAATTAGCATGACTTGAGAAATAACTATCCACTATATTTTATATTTGCTCAGACTTAAAATTTTGTATTATTTTTTGTTTGAATATTTTGTGGGAATTTATATTAGCATTTTAAATCAATGTATCAGTGTTTTGTGTTGAGGTTAACTCTGGTTAAGGAGTAACCTCATGTGTAGCTATTTATAGATAAGATTGGTTAAGGAGTATTCTCATGTGTAAATATTTATAGCTGAGATTGGTAGCCTATGTTGGGTATATATATATATATATCCTTATGCTTCTTTGTTGCACGTATTGTTGTGCTTTCATAGGAGCAATAAGTGTATTCTTTTGTGGACTTAGACCTTGAGAATGAACCACATTATTCACTAGTGTCTCTCGTGTTGTTGACTTGATCTGTATGAGTCACTGATTTTCTTGCTTTTACGTTAACAATTTTGATATTTGAACAAGTTTTTGGTTTGGAGTTAGATTGGAAACTCAAGGTTTAGATTTTTTTTCTGTTTGAAGTTTCTAACAATTTGGTTTTCATTTTTGACAATGACGGATTTTTGGCAAAAGTCACGAGTTTATGATGAGTGAAAGTTTTTTGTGACAAAAGTGTGTGACAATTTTTGGAAGTCAGGAAGAGTCTTCAATTTTTTGAAACTTGATCAATTGGTTTTTTGTTTACAATTTTTTCTAAGCTGGGATGTTGTTAAACTAACAAACTTAACGGGTGGTTGAAGTTTTGTGTCTACTTTTTTTGTTGAAAACTTTGAGTTTAAAGTGATGAAAACAATAGGGCGCTTGGAGTATCAAGGATTTTCAAGCGAGTTTTTCTCTCTTTCAAAAAACTTTCAATTCGAGGCGACGGTTCTGACTTCAAGAGGTTTCGAAGAGGAAGAGTACAGTAGCTGAGAATTTGCATCTGATTTTCTTGATCAGCAAGTTCAAGTCTTGGTCCTGGTGTTCATGCAACGCCGGCATCTGCCAAAGAACTCAAGAGCATTCCTCGGCCTCATAGATCAATGCACTTCAGTCCTCATCGGTTTTTTGGTCTACGTCTTTCGCGACATATTGCCTTGTAAACTGTGAATGCGTTGCAAGTATGAAACTCGTTATAGATACACAGCCAAGCAGGAGGCCTGGATAAACAATTGCACATGACATGCATTCTGACCTACCCCATCGATTGGAAAAATAATTCCCTCAGCAAGGAGTTCTCTATACTCTCTCATGTAGAGAAAGTGCACTTTGGCAAAATCACTCACGACTTTCAGGAGCTTACTCTAGTCGGATTTGATGTCCATATCCTACTCTTTTCTTGAGGGAACAGGAAGTGTATACACCCCCATCGCACTAGACAGCAAATCCTAAAGTGGAGAAAAATTTTCAAACATAAGTGAGATTGAATGAAGTGATTCCAAGTACCAAGTAGTTTGCACCGTGTTGGCATATCTAGACCCTTCCATACTCTATCATGTTGAGGAGTACTTTGAAGTGTCATAGTTTTTTGATGCGGTTCAACAACGGTATCATCAGTAGAACTCGTCAAATGTCATGAACACTTACATGTGATTATTACGATTCAATATGAAGTCCGGCACGAGAATCCAAGACCATATTCATGCCTTTGAAAATCTATTGGTGGATCTTCAAAATATGGGGAAGAAGCTTCTTGAGACAAAGAAGACAATGCATCTTCTCAACTCATTGTTGTCTACCTATCATACGCTATTCAATATTTTTTTTCAACGTTAAAACATGACTCTCACTTACAACGAGGTTGTAAGTGACCTTCTTACGGACATGATAAAGCAAGATACACTTTCATTCCATCCATTTTTGGTACAACACTTATTATGATCCGAGGTCAATCACAACTAAGTAATATCAACGATTCACGACGTTGGAGATTGAAGAATGAGAGATCAAGATCTCCTCAGCGAAGAAGAGTCAAGTTTATGGCTCAGTCATTTGACAAGAAAAATATTAATTGTTGAGGATGAGATAAGAAAGATCACATCATGAAGTATTGTCGGATGACAAGTACAGACTCCTCTTTAGTGGCAAACGTTGCGGAGCATTTTGATACCGAAAACAACAATCTGTACTCAAACGGCTTATGATGCCAGAGGTATATCATCTGCAATTCACCAAAAGTTGTTGGTCATATATGGTATCTGAACTGTGTTTGTTCTTATCACATTTGTTACATTAGAGAGTTCTTTTGTACTTTCGTCATATCAAATGGTTCACTAACCAATCCTGTAAAATTGAGGGTGGTGGAATCTATAAAGATCTGGATGTTTGATGAAGTCAATCGTACGTTGACCCATGTTATGTTTATATTTAACATGAGAAAGAACTTGATGTCTTTTGGAGTGTTAGACTCACACGGATTAGAGTGAAATTCTAAACAATACGTGTTAATTGTTAGATCATATGATAAGAAGATTATTCTTGGAGTATACAAGCACAATAATTTGTACTTGTCAGAACGCATCATTATTTGTGGAGAAGTTAACTTTACTAGATCTCGCGTTGAGATGTCTCATGTATGTCATTCCAGATTATGCCATATGAGTAGTCGATTCATGTTTCTTTTTTATGAGAAAAACCTACACCAAACTTGGGTAAAGTTGACTTGGCATTCTGTGAATATTGCATCATGAAAAAATAGCATATGCAAGCTTTTAGCGTTGAAGCTCATAGTTCCACGGATATACTAGAGTATATACATAGTGACGTGTTGAAAGCCTTACCTGTTGCCTCACTCTTTGGAAAGTTGTACTATGTCTCTTTATAGATGATTATTCCATATATGTGTAGGTATATTTTCTTACCCACAAGTATGAAGTGTTTTCAAGCTTCAAAAGTTGATGCATACAAGTTAAAGACTCAAACTGGACACAAGGTGAAATATGTGAGATCAGATGAGGAATTTTAGAGGTATTGTACAGAGAATGAAATGACTTGCCATTTCACAAAGATTTGATCTCTACAACAAAATGATGTTTCTGAAAGACTCAATCGAACTGTGTTGAAAAATGTGCGAATTATACTAAGCTAATCAAGTTTATTGGGAGAATTTTGGGCCGATACTGTAAACACCGCAATTTATTTGGTAAACATTTCCACTTCTAGTGCAATCAATTTATCAACACCGTTTGAACTGAAGCATAAATGGATGGCGGATTATAATCGCTTGAGATTTTTTGGTTGTACGGTTTATCTTTCACACCAAAAGAGCACAAGACTAAATTAGATTCTATATCCAAGAAATATCATTTTCTTGAATATGCTAGTGAAATGAAATGTTACAAGCTATGTAATACAATTGCCCGTAAGGTGATTGTTAGTAGGGATGTTTCTTTCAATGAGTCTGGCTTATTGAAAGAGTTAGTGATATGGTATTTAG